GTGAAATTATTTTGAAATATGGTGAACCTAACTAGTCTTTGACAATGAAATTTTACTGTCATAAATCATACAATGGGTTGCAGCGCATGATGCCTCACACCGTAGTGTATTGATAGTTAGTCGTGGCACATATGCTATTTCTGCACTATTTTCACTTGTTTCAATTTTTATGTAAATGCTTTAATTTTTCTTAATTCTCTAGCTTCTACATTGTTTTAAAACTCTAATTTGAGTTTACTAAGAGTGAGTGAATGTATTTTAAATGTTGAAAATCTTAAGATCCTATTGCAATTGTTTAAAATTGTTTCTTCTACTTGTAATTGTGAAAACTTGGTAATCCTTATTAGGTTCAAACCTTTGATTACATCAAAAATTGATAATTAAGTAAGAAGATCTTACAACTCAAACATCATAATATAATGAGGTTACAATATTAATAACCATATGCTCTTAATAATAGTATGCAAGATCAACTCCACTCTTATACCCTTATTATGGCTCCAACATGAAATCATGAGCTATTTACTTAATAGGGTTCATCCATGTGATGAGACTACCCAAGCCTCAAAGCTGCTTGACCAATGCTACTGTACTCACTTATGATTCTTAGTTTTCCTTAAATCACACATTATGAGGTGTCATGTCCCTAAACTAGCTTCCTCATAGAACAAGTGAAAACTACTTAGATTTGAGTCCTTTGTTAAACAAGTAAAATAGTACCTCATAGAACATTTGGGATGATATATATATATATATATATATAAAGGCAAGTACCATATGGATTTAAAATATCTACTCCCTCCTAAGGCAAATTCTCACCTTATATGATCATACAATACACATATACTTAACATATAGCATGCATATTCTTAATTATCATGATTGGCATGCAATTTCTCAACAACATTTTCTTCACATCATAATTTTCATCTCATATCACTTATTTTACACTTTTAACACGAACTTGCTTTATAGTTCTTTTTAATCTCATTATGGTCTTGCTCACACTATCATCAATCATAAATATCAATATGGGCACATTCCATTTGCCAAAATCATTTAAAAACACATGTTTCATGCCGTACTTGTATTTTTGTACAAATTCAAAAGCATAATCATATTTTTAAAACAAATTTACAAACAACTATAATTAATTAACAAGAAAGACATGAGCCAAATTTTTCCTAATTACTTTAAACTTTTGAGAGGTCAAATGTTATCCCTCAATACAAGTACTTCCAAAGCTTTCTTAAGCTTGAATGATGCCAATAGGTGGTTAATCTACAATTAATCATACCTAACAATCATTAATACCTCTATTAATAAAATTTCAACCCTTTACTTAACACTTTCACTACTCAAAATCCTAATATCTGGTATTTAAGCACACCTATTGGGATTATTAACTTCCTTTAGCTCACATAAACTTTAATAAACTCTTAAAGTATTATTAATGGCTTCTAATATTTCTAACTGCTACATTCATCACAAATTTTTAGCTATTAAACTACCAAGAACACACCATCCACTAACCTTAAATAGCTTGAAGAACTTTTATTAACCCTATTTAAGTTAATAGATTTTGACCCATAACCTTTAAAGTCCAAAAATCACTTCTCCAAACAAGCCCTAACTCAAAAAATCTCAAAAAGGGGAAGGGGAAAGAAAAAGAAAGCTTGGGAAACTTACTGTAGGTGTTAGCAAGCTCCAAAATGTTCCTTAATCTTTAAGGATTGAAGCCTTAGCAAAGCTTCATGTATGCCCTTCATTTTCTCTTTTATTCTCTTACTTAAATCTCTTTTCTCTCTTTATTTCTCAAGCTGAATCACGTTCTTATTTCTATTAGATTTCAACTATGTGCCTATAAAGAGCATCCCTTCATGTTTATTAGATTCATGCACCATGGCAAACATTACATGTGCCGCGAAACATGGTATAAAGACATACCCTCCAAGTTTTCTTTCTCTTTCAGGGCTTAAGTGGTCCAACTCCGTTTTAAACCCAATCCTTAAGCTATAATCACAACCCAATAAGCCCAGTAGTTCTCTCTAACCATTCATATGCCCAATACATACTTAAATTTGCTTAATTACCTTTGATTAGTTTAATTAACTAGGGAGTTAATTTTCAGGATGTTACATCATCACCACCATCTCTCTTCCACTCTCTCACTTTCTCTCCTACATGATTAAGAATATGAAGTCTCTCTTGTTCTCTCTTTTGCTTTCTCTCGCTCTCAGTAAGCTCTAGCATGCAAGTCATAGTTAAGAAGATGGAGGCTGATCTTACTACTGTGGACCAAGCTCTCAATCTTTCAAATTAAAAGTTCTAGTTGTTGTATCTGTATGAGTTTATTAGAATAAATAAACTAGATCTCTCATTAGCTTGAGTTTAAGTTATTTCAAATGTTGTTGATGCATATGTCAATTGTCTGATGATTAGAGATCTCAAAGTTCATAGTTACAAAGCTCAAAGTTCTTAGACCCTTTATGCTCACATCAATTTTGGTCTTTTCATGAATGGGCCATCTTCTCGTGGCTTTCACTATCTTAAATAGACTATACATAGCATTGGGAATAAGGAGGAAGGAAGTGATTATGGAGTACTGAGACAACGTTGCCTTCACCCTTGGCATAGAAGGTGGGGATGATAAGGGAGGTGTTGCATCCATCAATGAAGCAATTGTGGAAGAAGAGGTAGAGGATGACAGTGATAACAACAGTCTACTTAAGAGAGAGAGATCTCTCATCACTGGGAGTAAGAGAAAGAGAGTGGAGGAGAGAGCAGGAGAGGGAGTGAGAGAGCAGAAGAGAGCAGAGAGACAATTATGATGGGCTCTATAATTTTAAAAGTAACAAATGTTACTCTCATAGTAATGGTAAGTGAAAATTGTTTTAAGTTTAATTGTTCAAAATTTAAAATGTACTCCCTCCATTAAAAAATATAAAGCATTTTTTAAGGAGTTGTATGTTAAAAAATGTAAAATATTTTTAGTCATTCGAGATGTAATCGTTACCTTTTTTTTTCTAAAAGTGTCTCTATTAATAATGACTTTATATTAATTATGGGGTGTTTAATAATGGTAAATATAAAAAGATAATGTTAGGTTAAAAATAAGTAACTACTTTATTGAGAGGTGAGATTCGATTAAAAATACCTTATATTTTTTAACGGAGGAAGTATCAAATACCAGTTTATAGTTTAAATCACTCATGAGCCTATAGTTCAAGGTTCAAATTATATATTAATCTGTTTACTTTTATTCATGATAATTTTTCTTTGTTGAAAATGTGATTAAGGATGCAGCAAAAATTAAATGACCAAATCTCACATTTATGAAATTCAGTTCTATTAATTTATAATTCTTATGAAATTCAGTGCTAAAAGTGTATAAAAAAATAACAAGATATCAATTATATTATCCATCTGTTCTATGCTTCAATTTCTGCCATCTCATTTATGAATTTTGATACTTTAAATTTCCCTCTGTTTTTTCATTTTTTAATAAATTCAAGTCGCAGTTTTATTTAGCGAATTATCAGGAGACTTTTTTTGTCTCTACAACAACTAATACTCAATTGCAATTAAAAGTAAACTATAATTACTAACAGGAAATTAATCTAGCTAGTGAGAGGAGCTCGCCCAATCATATTTTGAATGGAATTAACTTCAATAGAAAGACATATATGTGCATAATGAAAAAAAAAAAGGAAGCAAACTAAAATCAACAATTGACAAAAAAGAAAAAATAAAAATAAAATTCAAACTTGTATCAGTCTGTCATGTATTTCTGGAGGGGGGAAAAGGCAGTTAATTATTAACTCAAACTTGAAGCGTGTGTTGTAAGTTGGAAAATGACATAGCCTGTGCATTGGACAAAAGAAACAGAACAAAATCAAAGAGTGTGAGGCATGTAAAAGAAAAGCAGACCAAGGTGTGAAAAAGTGTGAGTCCCATGGTAGTTAATTTCATAAGCTTTGCTTAAGATGTTGAATCTTCTTTTTTAATGTCATATCTTCTTTTGACTAAATCCCTTCAACACATGCTTCACGTTCAAGCTATCTTCTTTTCATTGCTAATTAAAATCATATTTACTTGCTTGACCTCCGACAAGACTTCACCGAGAATGACTTATATATATATATATATATATTTCCTCAACGTATTATGAGACTTTTATAGATTTTCAAGCTCTAATTCGTGGAAGTTACTTTCCAATTTCAATCTCGTTCGCTCAGAAATCACATGAAGTCACCTAGCTAGAATTTTATTACGAGAGTTCACTTGGAAAATCTCGTGAAATTTACAGTGACTTTTCATATAACTTTTAAATTATAAAGGGGAAGTGGAGAGCATATCATATGCCCCTTCCTCCATTAAATAAAAAAAAGAGAAAGAGAGAGAGAGTATCATATATCATATCATATATATTAATAAATTGCCGTCTGACAGAAGTTACGAAGGAACTACACTGAAAGGCAACCCAACCATTTTTAAACTTTGATTAAAAAAATACTAATTTTATTTTTTAAAAAAAATAAATTGTAATAATTCTTCCCTTAAATTAATAAAATCTACTCCCATATAATCTTGGTTAACATATATTAGTATCACACATAAAAAAGTATTATTCATCCCATCATTTTTTTAAAAGAGAATTACATTAAATTCCCTTTTAAAAAAATTTATCATAAATAAAAAATAATAATAAATTTTATTTAAAAAAATAAGTCATATTTTTATTTCAAAAACAATCCATTCACCTTAATTCTCATTTGTGATTAATTTTTTTTGAAAGGGATTAGTTGTGATTTTATTTTTAAGGGTCAATTACTCATCTCTCAATTTGAACTCATTATTGATTTCTTTTTTTTTTTTTTTGGTCCCAGATAAATTGAAAATATATACACACAGACACATATATTTCCAATTTCGAATGCTTCTGCAATCTCAACCGTAGATTCTGCATCAACGTCTCAAACTAAGCTGAAGCTCCAACATCGACACGCATCGACGGACAGAATCAATATAGCCCAGCGATTATTCTGCTCTATTATTATTCTTCGAATTATTTGTAAGCTTCTTCCAGGTCTGTGTCCCACTCCTTTATCAGCGAAGAAATCTCAGAGACCGTATGTGCATCACTGGACATTTCTTTCCTCCTACGCAGACCGCAGGGTCAATGTCGATGTCTTCTACAAGAGCACGAGTCTGTGTCTCGTAGACCATTCTTTGCCTCCTTAATACTCCTCTCCCCACCACTTCTCTGTTTAAAGTGAGCATTCTCGATCTTCGAGCCTCAAATCATTCCCAACTCCTTAATTTTTTCCGAGCAAGCATTATTGGAGTGGAAGGATCACCTAATCCAATTCCGATTTCTTTAATCCTTTTCTCTCTTTCCCTCGCCTTTCTTCTTCTATAAGACGTCGAGAATGAAGTGAAGGAGCATTTCTTTCATACTCTGTCCTGTTGGGTCTCTGAAAATGTCGAGCATACAGATGCCCCATGTAGATTTAGAGCAAGGAGGTCACCATCGTTCGGTTGTCGCGAGTGACGTCAGCGCTGACGGGAGTGTATGCTTCTCTGACGCCGATGATGGGTCCTGCTATTCTCATTTCTACTCGACCTACGGTGGTTCATACGACGATTGTAGTTTCGCGTGCGTTTCTGATTCTGAGGTTAGATGTGTTGCTGATTCTAGGAGAACTTCTTCTGTGACTGATTGTTCGGTGGAAGTGGAAATTGAAAGTGAGGTTCCTGAAATTAAGGTGCATTTGGCCAAAGTAGAGAGAGATTGTAGGATTTGTCACTTGGGTTTGGAGAGTGATAGCAATGATGAGTCTGGGATTCCCATTGAATTGGGATGCTCTTGTAAGGATGATTTAGCTGCTGCTCACAAACACTGTGCTGAGGCCTGGTTCAAGATCAAAGGGAATAGGTGAGTAAACCTAATTTGTTTTTATTTCTGTTGTAATGCCGAAACTTGTAGCACCAGGGCTTGTAACAACCCTCTTCATTTTGGGTTGTTGGAAAATGAATGTTGTTTGGTAATCAAGTTACTGTATCATTAATAGGAGTGCGTGTTTAAAAGGTTAAGTTTTTAACGTTATCCTCCATGTAAAATTGGAGAAAAGAAAGTGGAGAGGGTAAAAGAGTAAAAAAACTATTAACAACAACTTATCCCATTGCAAATCTCTTAATTTGAAAGGGTTTGAAATTATGGAGGATCATAGTTCCCAAAACATCTGATCCTTTCATTGTTAATACATCCAAACAATGGTTTGGATGCTTAACTCACCTCACCGACCCCTGACACCCAAACAATCCCTTAACATTGAGATGAGCTTATTGACAAGTTGTGTCTGCAATGTATTTATTAACCTATGTCTTGCCCTATTGAAAAAAAATCCACAAGCACTCAAGTTTTTTGTGTTTTGAAGGCTCTGATGTTGATGATTGAAAGGTAGCACAAAGCCATAATATTCAACTAAAGTATATAGTTTGGAATCTGATGCTGTGGCGGGTTGTTAATTAATTAAACTAAATAAAGTTAAAGAAGATGATGGAAGGAAGAAAAATGCTTGGGTGACACATATTTTAGAAGGTGTAAAGAAGGTAATGGGTCAAGGCAGGCTCTCTTATTTCTTCAAGGATAGGAAAAGTTAAAGAAGATTACGTTATTTTAAAGCAGATGATGATGGAAAAAGAAAGGCGTAAAGCCATCAGCCAGTCCTGCTGAGTCATTGAAATGTCGGAGTACAGTGGGATTCCCTGTTGCTGCTTCTTTTTTGAAGTTTAGTAATCTCACACTGCTTTTTGCTTCTCTCTATCTCTATTAAAGATGAGATTATATTGTCCCCTTCATCCTTCTATTTACATTATTCATTCATTGTATGCCACCTGTCCTGTCTGATTAGACACATTCACAGGTCTTCACTTGACATTTAAACTTTTGAGGATAATGATTATTGACACCCTAAATTTTTTATCCATTAATTCCAGGTCCCAGGTGTGTGAATCCTATGTTGCTTCTTTTTCCTTGTCTCTATCTCTATTAAAGGAGATATTAGATTGCTGCCCTCATCGTTCTATTTGCACTATTCTTCTATGATATACCACCTGGTAGGCATGGCAATAAGAGTCTCTACCCAAAAGTTTGAACTTTTGAGTTGCAGTGGTTCTTGACAACCTAAAATCTTCAATCCATTAATTGCATAACCCAGATTGTTCATCTAAGGTTTAACATCGCAGATTATTTTATTTTTCATCAAAGTTTCCAGTGTCATAAAGATTCTGCATTTTCAGTATTATGTTCAGTTCCTTGCAGCATTTCTTGAAGTTTAGTTATTTCCATATTTATTGCACTTTTTCAATAGTAATGCTATACTGAATGCCTCTGTCCTCTTTGTGGATTTGAATTGCCAACTTTAGCGGTCCCATACATTTAGCGTTTCACTCTCTGGAATTGACTATATCAACGTCTGAAAGAAATTGAAAGGATCCAAATTAGTGTTGTAGTGTTCTGAAATTTTGATGACCTTAGGGATAAGATACTTTGTGGTGGACAGCAGGCCCTTCTTGCTCCACTGTCAATAAAAAGCTATTTGTTGGGCCATTTGCCAAGAAAAAGGTTTATTGTTACATTCCTTTTTTTATTTTTTTGGCCAAAGGTTTATTGTAGCTTCTAATAGAGATGCAAATCCATCCCAGTGCATGGCTTGATAGCTAAATTAAATATTTAAGAAAAAAATCTATGGGACAGAATGTGAATATGTACCATTTGGAATTTTCTCTAAGTTTATGAGGTGATGCTTTACTTGGACGGCAAATAATCCCTGATATTTTTCTTTTTCTTTGTCTGCGGGCTTTGATTTTATTATTTGATCCTTTGTCAAACAATCATGCAACAGCAAAAGGGAAGGAATATTATATACAAGATGTGAGCTGGATAGACAAGTGCTGAAAAACTTTAAAGCACATAACCATGAACTATTTCTGTTTAGTTAACCCTCTGCTAAGATATCTTAGTATAAATTGTGATGATATCTAATTTGTTGAAGTCATCTTAGTGTATAATTTATAGTAGTGGTAGATTTTGGAGCCAACTGGTTTTTAATATTGAGTCTCTTCTGTTCTGTTTCTGTTTCCTCAAAATTATCATAGGACTTGTGAAATTTGTCACTCGGTCGCCCGGAATGTTTATGGAGGGAACAAGGAGGTAACGGAGCATTCAAGTGAAAGCAATAATGCTCCTAGTGCAGCTGCAACAGCAGTCTCCACACCAGCACCTTCTGCGGAAACTGGAAGATTCTGGCATGGCCATAGGTTCCTGAACTTTCTGCTTGCTTGTATGGTTTTTGCTTTTGTCATATCATGGCTTTTTCACTTTAATGTACCTTCATCCTAATTAACAGAGAGGCAAAGTTAAAAAAAAAAAAAAAAAGGAAAGAAAAGTTGTTTTGGGGGGGGGGGAGCCAAAAAAAGGGGGAAAGAACAGGAAGAGAGAAAGCCTACTCAAGCAAGCACAGTAAATTGTTGCTTTGAGGATGAACAGTTTCAGTTTGAGGATCGGTCCTCAATTATTGAGGACTATATAACTTGTGTTTAGAACTGTAGAATGTTGTATTGAAATGTAAAGGTTCACGAGCGAACCCAGGAAGAATTCTTTATGGTGGTCAACTTTTGAGTCAAATTTTGATTCATAATGGATTCTCCTGAGTTAAATTATGCATGCATGTGAAAACAATGAAAGTTAGCTAATAATATCTCAAGGGATTAGCTCAATTAATGAGAGATTTACTTCTTAAATGATTTCGCTTATTTTTCTTCTCACATGCTAGTCATGTGAGCATGTCTCGTATGAAATGGTCATCTTAAAGAAATTTAGTTGATCACTTCATTCAAGAAAGAAAGAAATTTAGTTGATGTATTTGAGTCTGTTCATAACGTAATTCTTTTTTTTTTTTAATTATTATATCAAGTTTACCTACTATTGTTGTGGCGAAGTTCGCTGATAATAGGAGGCTGCAAACAAATAATTTCTTCCCAATGACCACAATATTGATAAATTAACATAAAGCGCAATCCGTTTTTGAACCATATAAATTTTAATTATAATTGATTATGTTATAACGCAATCCGTTTGGATACTGTTTTTTTAAAATTAATTTTGACAAAATTGAAAATATTTAGATAATTTAATCAAAATTACTTTTAACTATATAAATTACTATATAATTTAAATCTTAAATATCAAATATTAATTTTTTGAGGATATAAAATTTAAATTTTATTAAGAAAAAAAAGAGAGAAGAGAAGAGAGTTTTATTTTATTTTTATTAAATTATGTGCTTTATTTATAATTTTTTTTTGGGCCTTTCTTTATACCTTTCTCCAACATTTTTTGATAAATTTTTAGTAAACAGCTGATGGAGGGAGCTTACAGGAAAACGTGTGCGTCTTGTCTCAGAATTGATTTTTGAGCTTTTTTGAGTGTTTGAGTAAATTAATTGAAAAAATTGATTTTGGGATAAAAAATTAATTTTTTTCCCTATCCAAACACACATTTAAATTAGTCTATGTCTTATTAAATTTTTTAGGTATAGTGAGACATGCTCATATACCTAGTAGTTCAGTTAAAAAAATGCATTTTCACCTGCACCATAGAGAATTTAATTTCTCTAGAGAGTGACTTTGACATTTACATGCATTGAAACACGTACAAATGCCAAAACAAATAAATTCTATATAATTGGAGAAACCAATAAAGGGAGTAAAAATGATATAAGTAACGTTTTTTAAAAAAATTAAAAAACTGTTGTGGATAAGTATTTTAAATTTAATTATTTTCAAAACTATTCTCATTTTTTGCTTTTACCAAAAAAAAAATCTTAAAGTCATTTTTTATTTTTGTTTTTTTTTGTTTTCAAAATACATATATTTGAATATGGAAAACTATAGCCACATTGAACAATTACTATTATAAGCCACCACCATTAACTGCTAACAACCATAATTATCAATTAATTTTTAATTATAAAATTCTTTTTAAATTAATACAACCAAACAGATTTTTTTTGTTTTAATTTTTTTTAAAACTATATTGCAAAATAATTTTAAAAAAAATGAAAACAGAAACCACACATCTCCTTGTACATCAATATGAGGTTATAAGATTGAAATGTTAGTGTGGGTTCCATCTTTATTCATTCTCTTCTGTCCCGTACTCTTCGGGGATTGGGTTTAGGGAATACTCTTACCAAAAACAATTATTAGAAGCCTAACAATATGTGCCTGGACGAAATTATCAAACCGCAACGTTCACAGGTCGATCTACGCAGCAAGAATATGGCTTAGGCCTACATGTTCACAGGCCTTTTAGAATTGGATTGGGTAAGCTATCTCAATCCAGCCCATTAAGGCCTGCAAAATGGGCTTCAGGGCTTAACTGCTAGCCACAAAAATGTCAGTTCATATCACAAATGTGAGTTGATCTTACATTTTCATTTTAAAAAATTGAGTTACCAATGACGGTTGGATGATTGGGCGGGTCTAACAAAAGCGATGAGTACATCATGACAAATTAAAGCTTAAATTTTTATTAAAAGAGATATTTATATTTAATATTTAACCAGATCTCTTATAGAATTGCCTTCAATAATAAAATATTTGTGGACAATAAAAAAAGAATTGATATTTTACACGTGCCATTCCCACACACATACCCACACATTTCTTTCAACTTGTAAAGTACAATGTTTAACATCTAAAATCTTGTGAAATAAGAGTCTCAAAACTAGCAAGTTATTTCCCTTAAATGAATGATTTCAAAGAAGAAGAAAAAGACTCGAAATTGTAATTTAACTAAAACTGAAGATTGATGGCAATTTCATCACCAAACCTTACGCCAATAACAAGTGAAGAATGGTGATCTCAGCCAAAAAAACAAAAAAGAAAGAGAGAGCGAAAAGGTTTAACTTTCTTATGATTGAATGTGAAGCATGATATCATGGTCGAAAAAAGAAAAATTCAGAAGCATAATATTCTGTCCCCACTAAGGCATACTGTAATCATAATTATTATTTCTCAATATATCTTTTGTGTGGGGTGGGGGGGGGGGTTGAGGATCTGTTTTAGTCTCATCCTCATATTCACACGATATTATTCACTATAAAATAAAAATCCATGTAGGATAGAGCTGATTGGGAATTGTGAATAGGAACACTACATCCCAAAGATTGGATTCGAATTTCATGAGATCCTTTTCAAGTGAATAGACAACCAACACAAGTTTAATACAAAACCACACAAATCACTATAAAACTCTTGGTCGATGGATGAGCCACGCTGTGATGATGCAGAAAACGATATTTGAGATGAGAATTATTATAAAACACGTCTTGTAATTAGAGTTCGGCGGACCAAAAACAGAAAAGAAAATATGTGAGATTGATTCATTTATTAACCACTAAAATGATAGATACAGACGAAATTTCTCATTTTCTAAGATGGACCCTTCGCAGTAATGCTACGGTGCTATGAGATGAGAGAATGATACAAAGAAATAGAAATGTATAGGGTGATTTCAGTTATTTAGGCCATATTCCTTTGAGCTTCTGAAGTGAAACTTGATGCATTTGTTAGAATATGATGAAAAGGCGAGAAATGTGGAAGCAATCAGTGATGAAAGAAATTAAAAGAAGAGAAAATGAAAGCAAAAAACACAGTGGCCCTCATTTATGCCCTTTTTGCATCACCTCCCTCTTCTCTCTGTCTCCTCTTGTTTATGTATACATATCGTCATTGTCCATTCTATGTGTATGTGCATGTATATATGATTCCATATCTTTACGTGATCTCTGCAATCAATTTCATTTCTGCTTTTTGGTCCAATCATCAATCCAACCTTATCTTACTTTGCCCGGTCCTCTCTGTCTCTTTTATCTCTTCATCTGCATGATAGCAATAACATATCAAATACCAACCTACATATCTATACGTCTCATAAAAATTCTATTAATCATACTACATCATGATGCTTAGAGTTATCATACTTTGTGTGACAGACAAAATCTATGCTAATCATGAACTCTCTCAAAGTTTTAAATACATATATAAATGATTAAAAAACCGGACCGAACCGAAAAAAAAAATCATATGGAAAGTTGGTCTAGATTATGCTACTTTGGACTAGCAATCAGACTAAGAATCAGATCCGATTTTCAAAAGCTAGACTATTAAAAAAAATGCCCTTTTTCTTTTTTCATTTTTTATCAAATTTTTTTATTTTTTATCAAAAATCAATTTTTTAAATTATTTAATATTATGTTGTATTATGTGGCTTATTAAGTTATGATAAAATTAAAATATTTAATTTTATTTTTAAGTTAAGTGGCAATTTTATATTTATTTCTTATATTTAGATTATTATATACATATATAATTTTTAAATTTAATTATTAAGTCATCGATTCGACCATTGATCCACCTGGGTTAGACCATACAAACCGCAAACCATTAATTTTTTTTTTGTTGATTCAATATCTGATTTGATTTTAAAAACATTGCTATATATTTGATCCTAAATAAAAAGGCAAAGATGTCATGGTTATTTTTTTTTAAATGAATTAATGTTGACCTTCCTCAATTGCACAAAATCATTATTCCTAAACACGTATGTTATTGTGGTCACTAATTTTAGTGAATGACAAAATTAAAAAGTCATATATTTTTCTTACATGTTTAAGGATATTTATTTATTTACTATCTTTTCTTAAGAACCATAAAATTAGTTAACTTATTAATAGGGGTTGAGTTTAGTGACAGAAACTAATCCCTTATACTATAGTGTTAGAAGAAGTGCTCACATTTAATGTTTGATAATATTTTGAATAATATTACTTCCAATAAAAAAATACTTATTCACAATCAAAATAAAATTCTTAACTTTATCTTATAATTAGGATTGAAGGGAATATATAAAAAATGTTAGAAGCCTCTTATTAGGTAATATATGTAGTTATTTTAATTAATATATGTGATGTTCTTGCAATTAACTAATACTATAAAATATAAAAAGGCATAGCAAATCATGTGATCTATAAATCATACAAATAATGTGATTTATTTTAAAATGTTGTGTATAACTTGAAAAGCGACTTGTCTTTAATTATTTGTATATCTCTCGTCAGCATATGTGCTTGCCTCCAGAATTTATAGTTACATGTCTCAATCTGTAACACAACAATAAAATGTCACAAAATTCATGCACCAACTATCCATCGCCAAGTTCCATGCTACAAACTGGCCAAAGAAAAAAAAATTCCATGCTACATTACATACTAACATACAAGTATTGTTTGATACTAATTTTTTTAATAAGATTTTTCTTATATTATATATATATATATATATATATATTTAGTGGATCTATACTAGCTCTTCATTCTCGTCATATCCGCATCCTTACAACAAAGTGACTTGAAATTAATTACTTTCGAGAGTTAGATTAATAAAACAATAGAAATAAGCACATGATCTCATAATTGGCGTCAGCAATCCATGGAATATAATATATTATCTTTTATTTACTAAAATAATTGTGATTCCAAGCGTCAGCGGCGTCAGCACTTAGGCAAGCATTTTATTTAGGGGAAAAAGAATTAAGAACCCTACTTTGACAAGGTTAAGTTACAGTTTGAACGAGTTAGAAGTGAAACTTTTTTAATTAATCATAGACTTTTTAAAAGTTCCAAAAAATAGTACAGGTAAATATTTAAATTTTAGGGCTAAATGGTAAATTCTCCCTACATTATAAATCTATGAACATTTGAGACATTAAATTTATTTTTGGTACAATATTCCCTTTTATCTTTTGAAAACAGTGCAATATTACCCCTATTATTAACAAATATTAACTTTAATTATTAGTTAATTAAAAAATTATAAAAAATGATCAAGAAAATTTTTTGACTCCTTATTTATAACTTTAACAATTAAAGTTAATTTTTATTAAAAGTAAGGGCCATATTGCATCATTTTTAAAATTAAAAAGGCAAACACTAATGATCTCAAGATTGAACCTACAATCTCTTACTTATAAAAAAATTTATATGCCACTAGATTACAAGGTCATTGATATCGTTTTAAAAAAAAAATTGAAGGGGGACATTGCTCCCAAACATTCTTGGTTTAAAAATGAAATTTCCTTTTAACCCTTAAATTTATTAAGCTTATACTACATATGTATATATTTTCATTTACTCAGAAAAATTAAAATCCGTGTGTAAGGAATGATTTAAATTATTATGATGGTTTGGTGTAAGTTTTGCATAGTTAAGATGATTAGGTGGAATTGCCCTTTGTTGTTGGGTCATCTCATGAGTTTGCAGACATGTTTTGTTCTGACCTTTGGTTAATTCATTGACTCAACTCACCTATTTTTTTTTTAAAAAAAAAGAGTAGCCTCTATTGTCTCAAATTGATAGAATAAATTATTTAAAAAATCACTAAAAGATCGAATGATCAATTTTGAACACATTTTTAAAAAAGTAAATAAATGCACGGATGCCTGTTCATTAAGCATTATGTGACAACTTAGATATTATGATTATTAATTATGCGCCTAACAGGGTGCAAAAGTTTCGCGAGTCCTAACCTGACTCGATTTTGCCCTCTTTACACCATTTTTTAGTCGACCGGTACTCTACAAAAATTGATAGAATAATGGGAGAGGGTGATAAGGCGAAAATGAAGATGACGTGATGAGAAATGAGAATAATGCAATTGAATCGAGTTGGCCACATGACGTGATTGCTCACTCTAACACGAAACAGCACCGTGTGGTTGGGGACTGATATATTAAAATAAGCGAATGAAGCAATAATAAATAATATTCAAAAAATAATAAATAATATTGTACAATACTGTGGAGAAGGATGATACCTCATTTGAAAAGACAAACTGTGCAGTGCAGCACTCAGAGAGAGAGAGAGAGAGAGAGAGAAGGTGAAGTGAAGGAGGACATGTGAAGAACAGAGCAGACGCACGTGATGTCCCCTCTGCAACGGGACCCCATTTCCTTTTTCTTTACCTAAATTTGGATTCGGGACAATGCCGTTGGATTTCAATATTTCCAGAAAATTAATTCAGAACCTAACCTTTCATTTTAACCCACCTTCATGTCTCGTTGATATCAGATATACATTCCACACCAATGACACAAACTGAAACCCTTCAAGCCATTTGTCATGTCAAGTTCAAAATCAAATCCTTAATCAGTTGCGGGTAAGCACTTTATCCCATGAAAATAACAAACCTTGTAAACTACTTCACAAAAAAGATATGTTTAATATATCTACTTGCAATTAATTAATTTGGTCAACTCATTGAAGGGAGCCTGCTCAGAGCCCCTAATTTTCGTTTAAGCACATGCAGGGTCAAAAGGACAATCCTGTGCATGTGCTTCCTCATGAAACTTGTCTCTCATTGGACGCACCGATTCACGTTCCATTGCCTGGTTATTCTATCCAATCCCGTCATTTGCGACAACATTTATTATACTAAAGATAATGCAACTACGACAGAGAACAGTTGAAGATATTTACATGAACTCAAATGACACAATAATCCAGTCACAATTCCCTTGAATACAAATTAGGTTGTTACTTATAAATTATGTGGTTGATCAGGTAACTGAATCTTCTAATTGAAGGTTGAGTCCTTCATCTCATTTGTGTAGCAGAAGCTCCTATATTTGTGAGCCATTCGTTGCAAAGTCAGCTTGAAATGTATTGCCATCTTCCAGAATCTTGCCATTTACCTGAGTTCTCTGCCTCTGAGCAATTTACAGATACCATGTTATGTCCAGATCATAGACACAGACGTTTTACTGAAAAGACGAGACGAAAGGACCAAAAAATAAATTCTGAGGGAGACCTAGTCTGCAAATTTTATCCTAAATGAATCGAGTGGAGTGGAGATACACATAGGCATGTGAAAGGTGGGCCCAACTGAAGAATATGTCTAACATGCTTATGTGTATCTTCATAATTGACACGGTCTGCTTATCTATTATAAAACGGTCCTATGTAAGAATATCTTAAAGGACAAATAGATTAATTCACAGTACCCTATCTGTAGGGTCTCCAGAATTCCCATTTAAGAGCTTGTGAGACTCTTCTTTGATTCTGCCGTCCTTGTCTTTAGTGCTCAACGGTAGCAGCATGGTGGCTGATGCAATGGAACGGTCGGGCATTTCTGCAGGACAAAACAAGTGAGCACAACAGCACATTGCTCCTAAACCAACATGACAATAGCATAAAGCTGCACTCGGTGGATCTCATCAAAAATTTGCCTGACATGCTCAATTAACATGACAATAGCATGAATGAATCCTTTGGTAATCATACATTAACATGGAAGCGTGTCAAAAAGTGAGCTTGATTGGCCCAATTTTTTAGATCTGTATATCTCATGGACCCAATCTACAAGATAATTTTTCCCCTAGCATGATATAGAATACTGAATAAATGCCCTAACCTGGTAATTTTTTGTCAATAAAAAAGACCACCATGTTAACAGTATACCTGCAAAGGATCACAACATTAAATTGAAAGGCACAAACAAAATCTTTCATTTGAAAATCAGAATATGCTCCTCACCAGGCAACAACTATATCAACTGTGTAATGTTTGCGAGATGCTATTATCAAAAGGCTCTGAATAACAGCAAGAAGCCATGCTAATTGCTTGATGACCCTGAAGTGGATCATCAAAAGTCAGAACCTACGCTAAAAAACCATGTATGAATGAAAGTTTTTGCCCATTTTTATAAGCATCTAACTCAACAGCAGCAAAATATCTACTTATTTAATAAAAGAAAAATAAGAAACACAACTTTACCTTCGTGTGCCATATTTCTGATATGTAAGTACGAAGACTAAACTAAAGATCATGTGTGATGAAAATATCAAATCACCACATCCATACAGCACACCATGAGGAACTGCACATTGAAAACCAAAAGAGCAAAAAAAATCAAACACTAAGGCATTGAAGCTGAATGGCACCAATACAGCAATGCCTACTAACAATTAATCAAGAGGACTTCAAGAACACTATCCGGACGAGGCAGTGTAGCATGTTTTGAGCCCTGCATGATGCATAAAGCATATCAGAATTATGATCACAACAACAACAAGAAGCCATATCAGAATTATGATCACTTCCAATATACATATATATATATATATATATATAGTTTTTCCACATACACAATTTAAACACAGTATGGACACAATGTTTTAGAAAGCAACTAAACACAAGCAATTATACCTGGCGGCAATGGTAGTTTGGACCAGGAAGCTGTGTAGAATAAAATGTGATGATACGAAGGCATTGGCAAGCCTATAGCAAACAAATACATATGGTTAAACATCATAAAAATAAAAACTACCATATCTCACCCATTTACAATAGCCTAGTGATGTGGAACAAGAGATTGGAAAAGAAAACGAGAGAAGAGTAAGAGGGTGAGGAGGAGCATGAGAGTCTGAAAAGGGGAACAAAGAAACTGAACTCTGAAAATATTCCTTCTTAAATCCAAAAGTTATTCCAAAACAATATCATAGACCTGTATATAGGAACTCAGGATATAAAAAAGGAAGGAAATAAATAAAATTAAATACTTCTAAGGTTTCTAAACAATCTAGGACTTCCAGTACTTATCTTTGGTCCTTACCAATAAGCCACTCTTTGTCAATTGATGGAAGATGGATAGAGATTAAGAAAGATATTATGCTTTGATAAGTTGGGTCAAAAAAACTATACATTTAAGAAAACGTCTAACAATAAGCCACTCTTTGTCAATTGATGGAAGATGGATAGAGATTAAGAAAGATATTATTTTTTGATAAGTTGGGTCAAAAAAACTATAAATTTAACAAAACGTCCAGCAACACGGTTGCATAAAGTCCTTGCTCATAAGAGACGACAGTTAAATATGATCTTTGCAATTACATAAATGCATAGAAGCACAACTAGACATGATTACTTAATAATAACATCATATATGCTGACATTAAACATTGCATTTATATCAGGAAGTAAGCTATCTATTGCTTCAGTATGCTATCACTTCAAATACTAGCGTTAGGAATAAAATTCCCAAAATATAAGGTCAGCTTAATAACCATGATTTAATCACCACTTACAATTAAGAATGCTAGAACCCTGCACCATATTAGAACTGTGGAGATCTTTTTGCTCTTCAAAATCAAAGGATGAAAGGTCCACTGCAAAACCCCATAACAAAGAGCATATCATAAATGACCATGGAAAAGTTGATACATGGGAAGCAGAACTTACTAAAAAAAAGGCACTTAAATGAATAAATGACAAATTAGGGAGGAGGACATAGGTGCATGACTATCTGAAAGTTAGTCTCAAGCTGAAGCTTCAGCATCAATTAGCATAATAGCAGGACACCAAGCAAAAATTGAAAGGAAAACAGCCATTCAATCAAAGCAAGATAATCTTTCCACATAATTGGTGCTTGATTTCAAAAGCATAAAACCTCAAACAAAAAAAAAATGAGAAATAATTTTCTGCTCTCTGTTCATATTTTCAACAAATCATCCTCAACACAAGAACACAGTTGTCAACTCCAAATTACCCTAAACGTGTTAGAAAGATTATGTCTGACTTTCTAATAAACCTTAAAGAGCTCCAATGGTTTAATTTCAATGAAACATGCACATCTTTGGCCATCACCAAGCAACCTGACACTAAATGCGTTAACTTCATGTATTTTCATAGGAAAGAAAGAGAAAGAAAGGAAGTAGAAGTTACTATGAGAACTGTTATGCCACCATGACCTCGATGTTATAGCTAGATAAAATGTAGCCTATAACAGGGACCGCCATCTTCAAATATCAATAAAATTTGCTTCTTAATATGACTAAATGAGTGCAGATAACACGTAGCCAAGTGGGAGAGGGAGAGAAAGGGAGTGGCTACACTTACCAGAAAAAAAGATAAGAAGATAAAGGTAAACAGGGTTTCGCTCATGTAAGCTTTTTCTTGTCCAAGCTCCTACAACAAACACAAAGATTAGAAATTGAAAACGCATGGCCAAGGCTATGAAAAATAACTTAGAGGAAAAGATAAAAGGAATTGAGATTACAGACCGGAAGAAGATAGAACCCAACATCCTGAAGAATGGGGCCAGGCCTATGAAAATAATGAACACCTCGAGCAGCCAGCCCATGTACATACTGCACGGAAAGAGTAAAAAATTTAGATAACGACCTTCAGAAGAACCTGATATCGTGCGCCCTTTTGAACATAAAAAAGTCTATGATAAAATATTTCTGCTCTGTATTTGTCTTCATCAACTGGCAGCAGGCTCTTAAAGGCTTCAAATGAGGAAAATAAAAAAACATTGATCATCTTGGGACACAGATAGACCAAGAAATCCTCAAAGACTTGAATGAATTTGCAACTTAGATGAAATAAGTAATCGGAGAGTCCACCATTGATTTCAAATTTCATTTGGTATGCAATTATTGATCAGGTATGGAATGTCAAACCACGAGAGTTGAAGAACATGACAAATGATGTTACAACCATTTACTCGTATCTCGACCCTTTTTTTTTTTTAATAAAACTGTAAGACTGTACGCTTGATTTTAATTACTGAGAAAATATGGTTCAGTCGCTATACCGCAGATGATAGAAAACTTTTTCCTAACATTGAGGCGAGCAATCTGTAAAAGTACCAACATGACAAAAAGCTTTTGCAGCGATCAAGTAAATTTCGCACAACTAGATGTGAAGTTTATTTTCATCAATTCCCACTCTTCAAAAGAAAGCAGAAAAAATAAACTTTATAATCCTTTTCACAAAAGGAAACCGGAGCTCTCGAACAATATTTTCAATTAAGTAATAACATTGATCAAAATAGAGAGACCTGAAAGACAAGACCAGCAAGAAGGTATTTCCAATTCTCCGCAAGAAGGTTGATCTCCGTGGTTGCCTCGGAGCAAAATCTCTTCCATAGCTACAAGTCCAGAACCCCCAAAGAAAAAAAAAAATCAGACAAAGGCAAAATAAATTAGAATCCCGGATGAACAAGTAGCAAAAGCGATATGGGGGGGGGGGGGGCTGAGAAACCAACCTTTGACGCCTCCCGACCAATGTAAAGCGACATGTTGTTGTTTTTCTCCTCCCTTATTTACTTGTTTTAAGCGGGTAATGATCAATTCCATATTACTTCATAACCACACCCCTAAGGTCAACATGATTTCCCACAACAATCTCGTTAAAACCCAAATTCAATTAACCCCTTCTTCTCTTTCTTATTCTGTTAAATCCACCCTTCCCTTCTATTAAACACTCCCGGGAAGCAGAATCAAGGAGGAACGGGTAGAGTATTCGAACAAATAGGAGGGAGATCTAAGAAGTGAATGAGGAAACTATAGTGATGAAGATCAAGAGTACCCAGATGATCAGAAAAGAAGAAGAAGAAAAATTGAATTGGAAGAATCAACAGAGAAATGTTTTCGAAACTGAAATGAAGGCTCAAGCATCAAAGGGGCTTCTTGCTTTGTCTAACTTCTATGCAAGCGAGTTGAATCCGGAGTGACAGTTGGGAAGCGAAGAAAAATAATACTACAGAGACAGACGTTCTTCGCATACATTTATATATTGAGATGAGATTTTGTGATAGAAATAAAGAAAAACAGAACAAAGTGAAAGTGAGAAACATCGCCGCTTCTCCCTTTCCTAAACGCCAATCCTGTACCCCCCTTCTCTCTTGTCAAGGTGGTGAGAGAATCCTCGGTAGAATCTTCCAGCATTTGAATTTGCAATTTTTATAATTTAATATTTTAATTGCCATTTCAACCAAAAATACAGGTAATTCGTAATTGCCGTTTTACTTTGTTATGGCCATATATATTTCCTTTCTCAAAAATGTCGAGCAATCGGCAAATCCCAAATTCTGGGCCGGGACTAAATAACTTTGTCGATGCATATGCGTAGTAGCTCAATTTTAATTTTTACCAACATGTTGGTCCTACTAAAAGAAAGTATGGTCATTTAAGCACTAGATTTTCAATTTGAATGTGAGAATGCAAAAAATGCCCATAGGAGAGATTCTTTAATAAATTTGATAATACTTGAATCTGATTTAAGCCCATGGATAACAGCATCAAAAAGAGATGTAGCTCAATTTTTAATGTTGTATTTGCTTCTTATTTCGGTAGTTAGAGAGACAATTTTAACCCATTATATCAAATCAAACTGCAATATACCAAGGTCTGAATAAAAAAAATCCATGAAATCTCAAAATTTACTTTAAAATCTTGTATTTTCAGTCGAAGTTGCTTATTTGTTATATTGAATTTATTAATTACCGTTCAATAATTGTTAATGAAATACTTCAATTGACAACTAAGCAGCAATAATTAACAATTATTCAGCCGCGATTAACAACTTTGATAGAAGACTTTGAAATACTTTTGTGATTTTATGGGGCTTTCTGAATTTAAATTTTTCTCATGTGAGTTTAGAGTGATTTTTCCATATATTAATGTTACGTGAGAAGGGTCGAGGACTTCCAGAAGCCATAAGAAACATTTGATATTCATAGTCACAGAGATGGTGTCCCAAAACTAACAAGTTTGGTGAGCAGAGAAACTTCGGCATGCCATGACGTGTGCAACGTGAAAGGGGAAAGGCATGCAACATTGAGTAATTATTGGTTTTAAATTTTATCTTGTCAAATTGGATGATGGGAATGCCAGAAATCCAGAATAGATACGGCTTGCGAATGGCATCTAAATCCACATCTGCTCCTCTACAGTCAACATTTTATGCTCTCAGCAGGCCCCAAATATTCTTTTCCCAAAGCTGTGGGACACGATCTTTATGTTCTCAAAACACATTTGGTATGTCAAACTATCATAGTAACGCTATCCAGGTCAACTTGGCCAGCATGAATTGATAAACCATACAATCAGTACGTTGATCGATTTAATAAAAATATTTTGTTTATAACCCATTTGACCATAATATGGCTATAATTTTAATTATTAACTCTTAAGCTAATAATGTCTTGATTGATTCAATTACTGAATTAATTTTCAAAACCTTACAAAATATAATTATGTGAGTGGTGGAGTAACTTTTGTATAAATTTTATTTAGTATACATATTTATCATGTCAAAACACTTCTTTCAATTCTCAAATAGAATGAGACAATAAGATAAATTAATTATTTAAAAAATAAAAAGTGTTTCGTCAAAGCCTCCAATACATGAACACATGAGTGAGGGTAGATTTGAAGACCAAAAAATTTGGTGAGAAAACCTGAGGGCATTAACTCTAAAGTCAATGACATCTTCTTCTTCCTTGTCATCATCAGTTGCGGCCGTTGATGGCGAAGAAAGTGTCTCCATCATCCTTGTTATCATCAAAGAAACGAGGGTTAGTCTCTCACTTAGGCTTGCCATTGTTGTTGTTGACGTACCTAGTTCATGAAAAATAGCTTCAATTTCACTCCTAGAAAAGGCACACGCACGCGTTTAGTTTCCACCTACATTCCATGCAAACCCTCTCGCGCCTTCCTTTCCCTCCTACATCTCATTTTGGATAAAGCTATGTAAAGGACTGTCTCAACAAAACGTTGGCCTAACTTGAAGTTTGATCTTTTTTTAGAAAAGAATTAATGTAGGCAACAAGTGATCTAATCTGATTTGATCTTGATATAACTCGAAACCAAATAAAACCAAATTGGTCTAGTAGAACTGGAAGAGTTGATCAGTTTTTATTCAGACGGGGTTGTCTCGAATTGGACAAGACTAGCGAACTTTTTGCACAACCATACTTTTGGACATTTTGGTGAAACGAAGACTGAAAAAAAAATGTTGTGATGATTCTATTGTACCAAACAAACTATAAGAATTAGAACACTGAGTAAATGATAATTAAAGACTTTTTAAAAATATTAATAGCAATTGAAAATTTGAAATGCCAAAAAAATATCATGGTCTCTATTTGTAATTAAAATATTTTCAATAATTCAAATAACTAATAGAAAATCACCCATGAATTTAAATAAAGTTGATTATAAATTTAAAAAAATCACTTGTGAATAAATAAAAAATTAATTATGAATGAATAAATAATTTTACGAATAGATATCATCACTTGTAAATGTAAAAAAATCATTTGTAAATTTTAAAAAAAGATACTTGTAAATTTATCAAAAATTAGTTGTGAGTAAATATTAAAAAAAACAGAGAGAGAGGGTCACTAAATCATTGCTTTACATTTAAAGTTATTTATATTTATTCACAACTAAAGTTTCGTACATTTACAAATAATATTTTTTAAATTTAAAATTGATTATCTTTAAATTATAAGCGATGCATAAATTTATAAGACTATTTATTCTTTTACAATTGAATTTTTATAAATTTATTATTAACCTTTTTAAAACTTACAAGTGAATAATTTTAAATTCATAAATGACAACTTATAAATTCATTCATTTACAATTGACTTTTTGTTAATTCACACATAACATTACTTAAATTCATGAATTAAGTTCCATTAATTATTTTAATAATTATTTATTTTTAATTACAAATAAACATCATAATCCTTCCATAACATTTTAATAATATGATGTCTTGAATTGTCACTAATGCTTCACGGTCTGCAATTGTCATTTTACCTGGAATCTAAGTTTTGGTAAAAGATCATCGGAGCAAATTAAAAAAGTGTGTCATCTTCAATCTAGATTATGCATATATTAACATAAAAATATTAAAAATATAATAATAAAAATTAAATTAAAAATGATTGTCCATTATTATTAATTTAAACAATCTAAAAGGAGTGCTGATCGTGATTGCTCAATAACGCCAAAAATGCCCATTGATATAACACACAGATACCACCTCATAAAGGTGAGCCAATCTTTTACGGCTAAAGGCATTCGCTTGCATTATATATATATATATATATATATGGTCAGGTAACAATTTATAAAATTATTTAAAAATATATAAATTTCATTACCAAGCACGCATATAATTTTATTTTCAATCAAGTTCTGTATTTAGTATGTCATTTAGAAGAGGGGCAGCATGTAGAGCTGCATAAAAGACCTCAGATTTCGTTCATTTAAAATTGGAACTAAGGGGATTTTTTTTTTTTTAAGGTTGAGAGCGTGGATTTTTTTTTTTTTTGGGGCCAAATATCCTTGATGAAGAGAGGTATTTTTAGAAAGCAATCCGGAATTCCGGAGCAATACTACTGAAAATGAGATTGTTTTAGCATATACAAAAAGATTGGGATGGAGATGATTTGATTGAGGTGATGGGGACATCAATGGAAATTCCAACAGGTTTTGATGACGACCGAATTGGACGATGAGTTTACAAGGGGACTCGACGTGACGGCACCAAGTCCACTTGCACTCAACCTTGAATAATTCAGTGCCAAATGTACATTAAGAAATGATATTAAATAAGTTTAATAGTTATGAATTAGAGAACATTTCACTGAGAACACTTTAATCTAACTTAATTTTAATCAAAATTACAAAATTTCTAAAATTTCACTATAAGCCACCAAGTGATATGCTTGTCCCAATTCTTGATGTTGATTTCATACTCATGATTTGAGTTTTGATTATGCTGGAAGCTTCATCAAGTCTCATGAGGAGCTCATATAAATAATCTCTCTCCTTCATATCAATTAATTGCTGCCAATATGGCATGAGCAACCCCTACACTCACATTTGAGAAACAGCATAATAATCTCTAACTCATCCCATAAACTTAACACTTTGTGTAGTAAGTTGGCACCAAGGTTCAATCCTACCTCATCATTGCCATAAATTGACATAACTCATATGCATATAGGGAACTTTCCTTTTCAAATTGTTCTTCAAGACCGACTTGTATCTCACGTGTTGTCTTTGCATAACATATGTTAACATATGCATCCTTATCCATTGTACTTTTCAACTATCTTTTTACCATGACATTGCTCTACATTTATCGACTGAGATCTAGTGAATCAGTCGAAAGCATTAATTACATCTATCAATGAAATCATTTTTTTAAAAAAAAAAAGTGTGTTTCGCATGTCATTCACCCACTTTGCATAATTCCCTTCATTTAACAACTAACTCACATAGATTTACATAGGGTTATCGAATGGTTGTAAGTAGTGAGGCGATGACACATCAACTTCACTCTTGCCCTTGGTGACTTGTTCATCAGACTCATTACTATTCATAGGTAATGTAATTGCGACCTACATTTTGATACCATAAAGATTTTGACAAAGGAATGGCTTCATTCAACCAATAAATGTGTACAATACATTACATATGTGCATACTATAACTCTAATGTAATCCTCAACCTATGATATACTTGAATCTCATGTAATCATATCTACATAGTATACATTTCAATTAAATATTCTGCGATCGCAATGAAACCACAATTCTATCAAACAATATGAGGACCCACACTCAATCCAATTCCACAACGTCCGCATCATGCATTCCTTCAACACCTACATGAAATTAAAAAAAAAGAAAAACAACCTAAAAAGGCTAATATGATAACTAAATTGGATTGCCATTTTTAAGGAATTGAATTACTCTGTACTTTCTCATCAACATTACAAATCATGATAGTTGGTCTGCACATGGAGAGTTCAAGATTCATGGTTCAATGTGGAAGTTCCGAATTCACTTTCCCTCCGTCTTGTTTGTTCTTTCTCATGC